CCCCAAAACCCCAAAACCCCAAAACCCCAAAACCCCAAAACCCCAAAACCCCACTTGGTAAATCTGAACTGAATAGAACTATCTCGATATCTAGACTTATTACTACTGATATACCTATGGTGTTAGAACTTGAGGATATTATCAATCATTGATTTATGCTTTTTGGATCTAATTCTGTGTACTGCAGTTTTCACTCTAGGCTTAGAAAGTCTAGTGTATTCCTTAAAATTGATACAAAAATTTACACTTGGAGTAGCATTTTCAGGCTGATAGTTATAGCTATCGTTACTCGCTTTAAGATTGACTCTTGAACTACAGTTTTATATTAACAACACAGTACAATGACTTTCTTTTCGGCCAATTGTTTGATCAGTTTGTTAGTAAATCTCTGTTCTTGGCAAGCTTCTTCATTGATTTCTAAAATTATGATATAGCACAGATAATATGCTTGACAAGTTTTTATACGGTCTATACGTACCTGACGAGGTTTCTTAAGCTTATATTTCACCTTGAGGTTATGAACTTCCTCCTGTATTTCGAGTTCATCTTCCTCTGTCAGAGGCTTCTCGTTAGCAGATTCTCTTATAGATGCATCATTCTTTGAATGTTTGAGTCCCAATAAATGAATCTAGAATGATCACAAGTTATTTTTACTTTATTTTACATGCGATAGGACATGCTTCGACAGGTTTTCCATATCAGAATACGTCTTTTTCTCTCTCATCTCTTTGAGATCTTTGAGAGTGACATAGTCAGCATCCCGGCTAAAGGTGTTTAAAAGTATGCTTACCTCATCAAAGACTTTAGGTCGTTAAGGTAGCCGGTTGGGTTTTGGAAAGACTTTCCTGTAGTGACCTATATATAATATTTATAGTTCACCTCCTTGATTTCTGGCTCTCTATATTGGTCTAACTTGCTGATGAAGCTCTTCAACTTCTTGATACGTTTGCCACTTTTTCTTAGTTTGAGAGTTTTGAGGTATCCCTGCATTTTATTTAATAAACTCATATTCCTTGGTAGCCTTTCTTTCTTTTTTGGGAAGGAAGTGATCAGGAATATGAGCAAGTGCATTCTTGACCACAAATTCACCGCTAGGGAGCCGCTCATGGAACGTTACAGAGGAATTGGCCTCTTCAATGGCTCTTTTCTTCATAGAGATTCTCTTAGCTATCATGCTTGTAGTATTACTCCTTTCGAACTCATATGACTCCTCTGGGCGTTCAGCTAAAGTTCATGAGCTAATATTGAGATAAGAGTCTAAATTCTTGTGTATCTTATTAGACTTTTCACGATAAAAGTTTTTATTTAGACATCGACATAATAAATTTATTTCCTCTCAGAAGTCAGATGCAGTGATGGCCCATGCGGCTTGGACTTAGAAGCACTTCTCTGGGTTTTGTAACTTCTAGCTGTCTTGGAGCTAAATAATGACCCAGCGTTTTGAATCGCAAATGCCTTTGTTCTCGGCCTTGAAGAGAACTCACTTATTTCCTCATATTGATCAGGGATATCGTTAGATTTCCTCTTTGAGTCTTCGTAGAAATGCACTGAAGTCTTATTTGGGACTAAGATTCTAGAAAATAAAGCTGTCAAGTTACTTCTGAGGGTCTTTTTCGGGGGAAATCCTTCTCTGCTGTTGCTTCTTTCTTGAGCCAAATGCACTAATTTTTATCATAGTTTAATGCAAAGCGAAAAGTTGTTCATATTTAGATAAAATAGCTGAAGATTTGAGAATGGGAAATAAGGAAAATACCTGAGTAATATCGAGTTTTGGCCTCTCTTCTTACGATCCTGAGTTTGACAATTTCTAAATTGGAAATTTAGTAAGAAAATGGAACAATTTATGAAAAACTAACCTTTCCTCCATTTTATTTTATATACTTAGCCTACAGGGGTTTTGGGGTTTTGGGGTTTTGGGGTTTTGGGGTTTTGGGG